GAAGAGAAATGAAGTGATTGACTTGACTATATTTGAATTATAAAAGTATCCCAATTACAATACGATCCCAATTTTGTTTATGAAGAAATCAAAACTCAGATCACATAGAATCTTTGTATTCAAATTGTTTGTGAATCTAAGATTCCCTGACCTCACATGATAAACAACACAATTGGGAAAATAATCAAGAAAGCTGACCATTAAAAATATAAAGAAGAGATAACCATTAATATTATCATTGCTAACTTTGTATTTTGCTAGATTATTTTGCCTGTGTACTCTGTGTCAGGGACTTGAAATAATGTAAACTTGGCGATGTACCTCTGAGATTCACTGTCCCAGCCCATCATATATAATGTTACATAAGATGTTACATAGCTAACAGTTGAAGTGCCCTCTTTTATAATCAGATTATTTGGCTGAGGAACTCACACTTAAATATCACAGCAGGTGACTATTTTATGATTGAGTTATTATGATCATTGTAAACAATCTATTTAAACACTGAAGTTATCAATAAAAATAGTTGATTTTTCTAAGACAAAATGAATGACCAAAATTGATATAAACAAAAATTTAAATACCAAATAATTAAAGTAAGCACAAATAAATTGAGAATACTCAGTTACACTCGTGGATGGTGTCAAGGTCATATGATGTTTACAGAGAACCCTATCAGTGTTCCAAGATATGCACACATTCCGTGCCATTAAACTGATGCGTTATGGAAAGCTAGTTCATCATAACGATACTAAAACTATCAAAGGTTAAATAAGCCAACCAACTTACTACTAAGCAAATATGCAGAGTAGGAAGCTGCAGACACTCTCACGTTGAACATAGGAACTTAAAAGGATTTCTACTGTGCTTCCCGTTCATACGTCCCCGAGTTTATCCTAAACCAACTGTGTTCCAACACGTCTCTGTGATCAGTGATAATGTCAGAGTTCTGTTAATAGCATGTGTCTTGGAAATGATTGAGTGTAACAGTGGCTTTTGAGGGAATCAGCTGGTTCAATAGCCTTCAAGGCATGGGGTCAGCAAAAAAGGTCGTGGTGACTCTTTTTCTTGATTCAAAAGGGATAAGCTTGATCATTTGTTCTCAATGGACACAAAATGATCAAGGGATTTATTATGAGGAAGTTAAAAATAGTGAAAACTGCATTGGTGATATAAAGGCCAGGAAATTTGGGTCTAGGAGTTTTTTGGTTTTTTTTTTTTTTTTTCATTCCCATTGTGACAATTTTGGGCTCATGAGGGCCATCTTAAGAATATTTTGTTGGAAACTTAGGCCATCTACCCTAGAACCTTGATCTTGCCCCTTCAGACTTCTTTATGCTCTAAAAATTCAAAGAACACTCACAGGAACACGACTTGGATCCCTGAGTGATACCCACGCTGCTGTTGTGACCAGGTGTCAATCTAAGAGGGTAGACAGTTTCAGGGAAGGGCTAGAAAGATTGGGCTATTGCCTTTACTTTTTGATGTTTTTGTTTTAATAGAGGTTTCTAGGATTTTTTCATCAATAAATTTTACTTATCTTCATAGATGCAAATATTCCAAAATTTTAAAAACCACAAATCAATTTTAATATCTGTTTATGAGCAATATGCCATGCCCGCAAAAGGGTTATCCTAGATTTTAGCACAATACAGCTCAACAAACAAACAAACAAAATCACCAAATCTTTAATCCAGCTATTTTTATTCTTTGTTATCTTCTTAAGGAACAAGTCAGGAGGTATTAAAAGATATATGAAGTGTTTTAAGTAATGTATATTTCTTGAAATTCTTATGGAAATATTAATGGGAACATACTCTACACTTGATAATTATAATCCATGGTAATAGGTTATAAAAATGTGGGTAGAACTTTTCATTTAAAAGAAAAAATATCATAGCTGGCTATACAAATAAGTGAAAACTTTTCCAAAAAGTGGCATTTCAGATGAGTCTCAAAGGTTTAGTAAGGTTTTAACAGATATGATTGGAAACACACATGTGTTTCTGGGTCAGAAGCTATAGCAGGAAGCAGTGAGCAATCAAACTGGAAAAGCAGGCTTTGTCCAGAGCATAGAGTGCATTAAAAATGCATAGTAATAAATAAATCAGTGAAACAGGACTGAGAGCTGGAGACAGACTAAAGTTCGTGGAACCAATTATATGACAAAAGCAGCATTTCAAATATTATGGGGAGTGGGTTTTATTTATTTAATGATGCTAACGCAATTAGTTAGATTCCTTACTTTGCACTAAAACATGAAATAGTCCACATAGATTAATGAGTCAAGCACTTTAAACTTATTTTTTTAAATAATATAAGGATCACTACAGAAAATATTGGCATGTTCTTTGGCATGTTGACATTTACAGTTAATTTGAAGAGGAAAACACAAAATATCCTGCAGAAGTATCATAGCTCTGTTTGTTTCTCAATAATAATAGATAAATTATGTCAAAGAGCCATCATAAAAAAAAAATACACTGGAGAAAAATGTTTCTGAGAAACAAAGTTAGAATGACTTTAATATAGTAAAACAATTAGAAAATAAAATTTAAAGCAAACAACCCGAAAGAAAAATTAAGAGAATGGCATAAACAGACATCCCCCAGAAAAACAGATGCATATGTCCATTAAGAATTTGAAAAGATATTCAACCTTCTTAGAGTTGAGGGGAAAATTAATTAGAATAGCAAGAAAATACTGTTTAATATCAATATTAAACAGATTGATCACATACAATGCTGACAAGGATATGGAAAAACAGTCTCATACATTACTGATAGGTAAGAGAACTGCTACTATATTATTGAAAAACAATCTCGCTGTACTTATTAAAATGAAAAATGGGCATGCCCTTTGATCCATCAATCCCACTTTTGTGAGTCTGCTGAAAAAAATAAAAGCAGTAGTATGTGATATATGTGCAAGCTTGTTTATAGAAACTTTTTTTTCAAGTGTCAGGAGAAAGAAAGGAAAGGAAAAAACTGGGGCTACTTTGAATGAATAAATATGGAGTTAGTCAATTAAATTCTGATATATCCATCATCACCCAATAGAATAATATACAACCATTATCCAGGGTAAATCAGGCTAACATTTAACGACTTTACTCTTTTTAGCAATAAAATAATAAGTACATAAGAATTATGTATTTCTTTAAAATAACTCATTAAGTGTATGTGTATGCATATCTCACAGAGCTAATTCAGAAGATTACATATAAATTTGCTTTGTTGCAAAAAGAGATTTGCAGCGGTAGAGGCAGAAATATTTCTTGATTTATATAAATCATCACCTTCATTCAACTTGTTGTAAGAAGCATGTATCATTTTTGTAATTTCCAAATAACTTTTGGGCTTTAAAATTCTATCCCAAGGTTTTCCAGAAAACTAGACTGTGTTAAAATATACGAAGTATCGTATCTGAATTGCTTTCACGGGACACGAAAGGAAAGGAACCTCCCCCCGTAGTAATCTACCTACTTAACCAGACAACTCATATGGAAACTGAAGTATATCAAGCAGTACACGGTCCTTAATTGTAATTAAGTTTTATCGCACTCAGCCTATTAAGTGCTTACATGACCAGATAACAGAATCTACGTTCCTAATAGCGGGAAGCGTATTAACAGCAGTGTCGCTCCTTGTTGCAGCCCGGTTCCAACCATCACGTGGATGAAGGTTAGCGGTTACATTCCTAGCAAGTCCCGTCTGCGGAAATCCCAGGCGGTGCTGGAAATACCGAACGTGCAGCTGGACGATGGCGGTATCTATGAGTGCAGAGCTGAAAACTCACGTGGAAAAAATTCCTTTCGTGGACAATTACAAGTATACAGTAAGTGCTCCAGAGCGTCAAAACTGAAAATGCACATTAATTCCAACTAAATAGGGTTTTTTTGGATACATAAAAGTCAAGTCATAACTTATAGTTGTTTTTTTACTTAAAGCATGATGTAAAATTATATTATACAGAGAAATAACTTATTTCAATTAAAAATTAATGAGTATTACCAGTCTTTTTACAGACTAGAGTGTTTATTGTGCCTTACAATGAGCTATCATTCTGGTGTCAAATGTCTCCTCTGATAAGTTACAATTCTTGGAAATTTTTCAGACTTACTCAAGTCCTTGGCCTAGGTCAGGGTTATAGTGTTACCCTGAGACAGACTCCTGCTCACCTGGCTATTTTAGTAAGTAACATGATTGGAAAACAGCCCAAGCCAGTCATCTACCTCTTGTCCATTTTGGATTTTGCCCTGCAATGGCAGAATCGGGTAGTTGAGAAAGAGACTAGCTGGCTCACAAATCCTAAATTATTTACTGTTTGGCCTTTTACAGAATTATTATTATTTTTTTTTGCTGATCCACAGCCTAAACTAATATGTCTATATGATAAATATCTTCCTTGGCTTGCAAGTATTTACACTGTCCTCAAAATGCCAAAGAGCCAACCAAGTTATATTTCAGAAAATGGGGACATCTTATGCAACAACAACGAAAAAATCAATCTCATCTTTACTAATTATTGCAAATTGTATCTACCTTTCCTACTTGTTTTATAAGAATCATTATTCATAATGGTGGGTAATAGTATTCTCATTTCTCAGATGAAGACAGTCCAATGAGAGAAATATGAAAAGTCAAAACATCCATATGAGGAACGACAGATGCTGATCCTAGCAAGTGACAATAACTGTCACAGTATCGCCTGATCAGTTCTCCTCAAATAGTATAATGCCCTTTACAGGGACTCTTTAGAAGGATTTTGAAATGTTAATATCTGAAATCAATCTTTCATTATATCTAATACTTCCTTTATAAACTAAGCCTCCAAATCAAATTTGCCACACCATACACATTTTATTATTCATTTAATGTTTATTAAGTGCCTATTATTGGTTCTGTAAGGTAGAGCTAGACCTTTGGAGAAACTCATATTCCATTGGATTATGTAAAAAACAAACCTCACATTTTAGTTGAAAATCCTATATTCTATGGTAAATTAGTATGCCAAATAACACAAAATGTACTGTGTTCATTTCTTTTTTATTAATGTATATATCATATCATCCCACAGCATGGGATGACATGTCAGTCGTGTCAAGCAGGGTTGTACAATTGCCACCACGATCCCTCTCCAAGCAGTCCTTTTCTACATGGACTCCTTGGCGTCCTCAAGAGCCAAGACGCTGGCAAGGAGTCCCTGTGTTCCTTCTGGGAGCCAGGGAAGCTTTTAAGGAGAATACTTCCCTGAAGGTCTGAAAACGGGAAAGAAGGGGCAGAGAGTAATGTAATTCTTTTTAATGATTAGAGTGCTGGCACACATGGGTGAATTTTATGCCATTGATATTATATTAGATGAAATTATTAAAAAACTGTTCAAAATTTCTAAAATAAATAATTAGGCAGAGTTTCTAACCATAAACAAACTACCAATCAAACAAACATATTGCCCTTGAGTTGATTCTGACCCTACAGACAGTATAGAGTAGACGAGAACTTCTCCACAGGGTTTCCCAGCTTGGCATCTTGAGAAAGGTACACTACCACAACTTTCTCCCAAGGAGCAGCTGGTGGCTATACCACCAAACTTTTAGTTATCAGCCAAGTGCTTAAGTTCTGCACCACCAGGGTTTCTTTTTCTCACCATCTGTATCCAATAAAAGGACGAAGATGAAGATTTGATCATGAAGAGCAAGGGTTCAACTAGAGCAGTGGTTCTCAACCTTCTAATGTCACGACCCTTTCATACAGTTCCTCCTGTTGTGGTGACCCTCACCCCCCCCCCCAACCATAAAGTTATTTTCGTTGCTACTTCAAAACTGTAATTTTGCTACTGTTATGAATCGGGTGACCCCTGTGAAAGGGTCCTTTGGCCCCCCAAAGGGGCCGCGACCACAGGTGAGAACCACTGAACTAGAACATTGCTACATACACACACACACACACACACACACACACAAAACATACAAATGTTAGAAGTGCCTGTTACTTTAAAGTCAAGAAAGCAAGCTCTAAATCCCTCTCTAAGTTAAAGAAAGGGACATCTAAATAGGAATGAGACTGTACAGTCTGGGGTCTGAAGCTCTTGTAAGGCTTCGAACCCATCTGGCTGCCATAGGTTCCAACCCAGCTGTCATAGGTAGGAATGGCAATTCCAAGGGAAGTAGGCTTTGTAAGAAGGAGGACAAATGCTTTTTAAATTGTTGGTGTGCTCTCTGGTTTGGGAGGTGGGAGAGGCAAGGCAATGCCAGTAAGGAACAGCCAGTGGGTCCTCTTTGTCATAAACGTTTAGATGTACATTCTGTATTAGGTAGAGAAAGCCAACCTGCCCATAATATTCATCATTTTAAATTCTAGAAGTCATCAGAAGAAGAAATGGGGTCAGTGGGTTTCTCGGCAAACATTTCTGCCTATTTAGAGAAGGTAGTATAGAAGCACGTGACTTCTCAGTGTAGCAGACTCAGGTGCCATCCATCTCGATTTGCTCCAAATATTCATTGTATGTCAGCTGTGCCCCAAAAGAAAGTTTGAATAGTGCTTTTCTCTTACAGAAGTGCTTCGGTTACCATGTGTTCGCCCTACTGGTGTACTTTAGAAATGCTCATGTTTGATTAAAGAGCACTTTCCTTCTCAAACTGTTTTAGAACATAGAAACGTGGTCACCATTTCAAGCAGACCAGCAGTAGTTATGGAATGGTATGATATATGGTTATGTGACTGCTTTCATCGTTCATATTTAGAACTATTAGAGCCTCTGAGAGTTAGTTCTCCTGAAAATGGATCTCCTTTTGGAAGAATTAGAGGCTAACCTTTAGAAACACCCACACTTTAAAGTAAAATGCATAGTTATTGTATTGAGTTTATCTTTGGGTTACCATAGCAAATATTTTGGGGGTGAAATAATTACTCTGATTATTTCTGTGACTTTTGGTTTCTGAAGCTGGATCCAAAAGAACTAGTTTTAACTTCTTAGAATTTAAGACCTTATATTTTACACATCAGTTAAATATTGCTTTTTAAGTGTTAAAAGGTTGATGATGACATGAGAACAAAAGGACGAAAAGGAGAAGGAGAGATGGAAGGGAAGGAGGAGAAAAGAGAGGAAAAGAAGAACAATAAAAAGAAAAAGGTGAAATGTCAAGCAGTTTCCTATTATAAGGAGCTCTCACAATAGAAGATATTCTGTGCACATATTCATAAATATGTGTAATCTATAATATTTAGTGGTATAAGATATGCTCCACCAACTAGTCTGTTGTCATTCGAGTATGGAGTACACTCAGTGTAGTGATGATCTCTGAATAGTTCATGTTTTTCTATTGAGATTAGGTATGTCAGTGTTGAAACATACCTCTAACCAAAGTTTTTAAAAAGAAAATCACTCTATAGATTTCAAAAGTGTAGTTTCATTTTCAATGTAGTATTATATCTTATTATTTTTTATACTTCTAGACCTCATCTTGCGAAAGATTAATAAGTTCTTATATATTTATCCCAATTTATATTTTTTCTAATAGAATCCTAGGTTTAGGTTGTTATTTTCCTTTCTATATTTCTTCTAGCACTAAGTGATGTTCAGTCCACAGTAGGTATTTTTTATTAACACTCTACTGCTGTTATAAATATTAATGGCTTATAAATGCACATAATTAAATGTACATTAAAGAGAATGGATGAATGTCAGGAAGAAATTAAAGAACTAATGAAGGAAACTAATAATTGAGAAGAGCTAATGTTCTAGACACAACTTGACTAATAGATTTTTTGCATACATTAACTCATAGTAACCTTAAGTTTGGCATTTTCACTTGACATATGAGGAAAGTAAAGTCTAGAAGAATTGAGAAGCTTATTACAGAAGGTCCTGTTAATAATAAACAGTCAATCTCTAATTCAACTTAGAACTGGAGTTGAGGCCACACAGTGCACTCTTCCTCCACTTCATCTTTCTCCCTGTGCAATCATGGCCTGGGAACTCTCCAGGACAGAGCGAAGATTTTAGCAAAGGCACGGAGAAAAGCATGGGTAATAGTTACTTCCTATTGACCATGCTTTTGAATAGTGTTAGACAAAACTGTGACATATATAAAAATTCTTGTCATTAGTTCTCTTTCTCTTTTCTTTTTTGTGTGCCATTTTGTTTAGCTAAGTTTGGCATGATTTAGAAAGAGATTTTGCTTATTAAAAATATTAAAGATTTATTGTAGAAAATTATATTAAATCTAGACTCTGATGAAAATTATTCTAAATTATGAAAATTTCTAAATCATTATTCTTTGGAATAACTTTCTCACCTTGAATTATACTCTTGTTATGAAAGTTGTGTATATGTCTATATGTGTGTGTATGTGTGTGTTCATGTGGACCCATAATGAGATTTCAAATATTCATGGAAAAAATTGGAACTGTAAGATAATAAAATGTTTCCAGTATCTATAGTTATATGTTCAAAATGATAAAAATTAACAATCAAGTTAATGTATGAGCAATGAGTTGTAAGCAATATTTATTAAATACACTCATCATAGTAGCTTATTAAAATAAGAATTTCTATCTCAACTTAAAAATGAGATTCATTAATATTAAGAAACTCATTCCATAAATACCTCCATGTTTATCTTTGGATCATATGAGGAAGAGTGCAGCATCAGGATTAGAAGAAGGCTGATTAACAACCTTGCTTGTTGAAAGTAAAGAGGACTTGAGGCATTTGCTGATGAAGAGCAGAGATTGAACCCTTCAGTAGGGATTGCAATTGAATGTAAAGACGACCAAAATCCTCCTAACTGGACCAACAGGTAACATAATGATAAAAGAAGAAACTGATTGAAA